GTGCTTGCTCAGGCAGCACACCTAATAAATTGGAATCGATACAGAGAAGATTAGCATGGCCCCTGCGCCATGTGTGTCATGTATGTAGTGTAATTTGCTGAAAGATCTGGCATGTATTGCCACCTTTCACAGCCAATGTCATTGCAGTACCACTACAGGCAGCTGTGGTGCAGTGTTCTAGAAAACATAAGCACATAACATGCTTACTTAGGTAGAAGCCCCATCATAAGTCCCAAATGTTTGAATTATTTCTGTCTAAAGAAATCTCTGTTATTATTCTGTCTACACAGAACAGTAAACCTTGACTAAATCCCACCCACTTTTGCTTTTTAGCTATTCTTTTTTTCACCTTGTAAGCTTTTCCTGGGCTTGTAAGGTGACAGACTTCAGAGCCCCCATCAGCTGCAGACTCCACCAAGTTCTTTCTGGAGCTTTTTTCTCTTTTTTCAAATTCCGTAGAGTTAAACATGTTAATATAGTCAATTACTAGCTAATACAATAACATCTCCAGACACATTAGAATGAGTGAAAAATTGTAGCACCTATAAAAGCCATGGTGGACTACCATATCAGGAAATGTTTTATCACAGTATTAGGCTTTATTACATCTGAGCTCATTTAGTTTTACATTTTATTGGGTTCTTTATTTCATTTGCTCATTACTCAAGAAGCTGTCTATTAAAACACTAATTCTCTGCAGTTCTCAGTTATGGCATTTAGTCATATAAAATGCATCAACTATCTTTTGAGAGCTAAAAGAATGTAACTGTGCAGCAGCATTAAGACGGTCAAAACAGTACAGCTCTCCCTTGAAACCAGCACTAATGAAATTCCAAACATTTGAGCCATAAACTCTTCATTTTTTAATGAAAGTGGCTAAATCAGACTTTAAATGATGCAACATGACAACTGCGTTTGAAATGATTCGTTATAAGGACTTGACTTAATCAAATATGGTCATAGCAATTCATTTTTATTTGTTTTTTAGGGATGCAAAGAGGGTTTTTTTCACACAGTAAGGAGCTAATTGACTATGTGTCAGCCAAGGCTTGAAGATATGAACCAAAACTGTTCTTCCTGTGTACTGATGCAGTAATATCAACTGTGTTTTTCTTTAAAGCGCTGTCAGGCCCCCTGTAGAATAACTAGAGCGATGCTTTAAGATTCTCTGAGAGCTGCCTTCCATTTCCTCCTCCCTCCTGAGGTCAAAACATGCTGCACCACTGCACAGAACAAAAGGCCTACTTCTGAGGTGATCAATCTGAAGTGAGAGTTATGGAAAGGAGAGTATGGAATGATGAGAGTTATAAAAAGAAGAGGGGGGGGGGGTGCACCTAAGGTCACTTGGACAGAAAGCTGAGAGTCTTCAGTAAAACATACTTCTTACATAAGGCCTTGTTAATGGTATCCTCCGCATGGTAGAGCAAACGGGATTCTCTTCTGACTTGAAAGGATGCGGATTCATCAAAAATGTGATGAAAAAGACTTCAGAGCCAGTGTGAGAAGACAACCTTTACACCCCAGCTGCGCCAGCTCCACAGCAAATATTAGCTTTGGTTTTAAAAGGAAATAACCAAGTGGCAATTAAGGGTGTTCCCGTATGAAGCAGTCCTAATAACACATGCAGTGTTTGTGCAGCTCGTTTCAGAAGCAATTTCTGTCATTTTGAGCAAACAAAACTTTGCATTTTTGCAGTTTAAGTGCATGACTGCTTGTGTTGGTTGGTGCGGTGTGTTTTCTCCTGCGTCACTCCACATTTTTGGTTGTGTGTGTGTGTGTGTGTGTGTGTGTGTGTGTGTGTGTGTGTGTGTGTGTGTGTGTGTGTGTGTGTGTGTGTGTGTGTGTGTGTGTGTGTGTGTGTGTGTGTGTGTGTGTGTGTGTGTGTGCGTGGCAATGATGTGTGAACATGTGTTTTTTTTTTTGTCTCTCAGAATTCCCAAGACACTCTTAAATCTTGCTAATCTTAAAACCAGAGAGATGGTGCGTATAATTAGTACTTGAATCAGCGCCTATGCCTTATTGTTCACAATATGGCTTCCAACCTCGCAGCACTCCGGATGACCCCCATTTGGCCTAGTAACATCCAACCCTTCTCACCCGCACCCATCCATCATGGCTCTGGTACAGGGCTTATCATAAGCTCAGAACCTCTGTTTTTGATTCTGTTTCATCTCATCTCAGGCTCCGTTCACTTTCTTTACTTTTATTCATTTCTTTCCCAGCAGCTAACATATCTCCTCCATCAATGCTTTAACCTCCCAACCACCTCAGTTCACTTCCTCAGTCACTCGATAATCAAATGGCTTCGATACCTCTTACTTACGCTCACTTGTAGATTTGTTCTACCTCCGAGAGCATGTACAAATTCAGTTTCTTTATATTAGCCCAAGTTGGAATTCCAGTTTTTTCTTCTTCTTTGTGTTCACCGTAAAATCCTTCCATACCAGACAGCACTTTACCTCTTTAGTTCTGTTCAGTTCCTGCTGCAGCTCTGCCAAGGACTGGAACCTTAAAGGCTTTATATGGGATTTTTCACACTTAAATGTAGAAATCAAGTATCTCCTCTGAAAATAACTCTGTGAGTCATGACTGTCTACAATGGGTGTAACACCGGAGTCCCACTGTCTGTGATGTTTTCAATTTTTCAGAGTCCTATCTTTAGTTTGTTTACATCGGCGGGACGGCCGGCTGACTCCTCCCCTCGTGTATAAAAGTTGTTTAATTGAGGGACTAGAGAAAAGAAGAATAACATACTGTACTCACTGCTTAACTGCGTTTCTAGATCACGCTCATTTCAGGTAAATTTACATGCAGTGTGAAGATACCAGCATAATAAAGATCACTAGCATTAGCATGCTAACACAACAATGCAGCGCAAGTTGTTTTGGTTTCATGCTGGTGCTCAAGGGCGACATCTGCTGGATGAAAAAATCACATATAAAGCCTTTAAGAGAAAACAAACATCATCGGCTCATGATTGGTGTCAAAACACTGGGGTACATTTCATGTCAAAATTACATATACCACTGTCCTTGTCCTTTTCTCTTGAAGGCACACCCTGTCTTCTGCACTTCTACTGCTTTTTCTGTCTGTTAAGCTGTAGAGTCGAGTGTGTGCCAGCCTGTGTGTGTCGCCCTTAAGAGTTTTACCTGCTTTGAAGTATCAATACCTGTCACAGAAATTATGAAAAGGCTATCCAGCGGTTATGTCAAGCGGCCCATGGAAGCTGTAGTCTTGGGTTCGGGTTAGGCCTCTGCCTTTTACTGAATGTCGTCCCCCGCTCTCTCCTCCCGGCGTTTCCTGTCTCTCTTCGGCTGTCCATTAAAGGCAAAAATGCCCAAAAAGTAACTAAAACACAAAACAAATGATGAAAACATTGTCTTTTTTTAATTAATATTTCTGGCAGCTGCTGTTGACATCATGATAATCTTAAATGGTAGATTTCTTTACAACCCAAGTGTGTGCTCTTTGCTAATCCTCAGCCCATTTTTTGTTGTTTTAAAGCTCTATAAGTTGCAAAAAAGAGGTGACACTTCCAATGACGATAATGACATTTATATTAAAGAACTGAAGAGACTTTCATGCTTGTTTAACTCTGAATCCAATCATAGTATCTCCGATGTATGTTGACAACCCCTTTTATGTCATTAGCATATCCGGGACTTCTCATCCATGCTTGCTGAACAGTTTTATTATTAATGTATTTATTTACTGGGGACAATGCACATAAATCAACGTTTCAGTTTACACATGAGTGAAGAGGAGTTAGCTAATGAGCTAATTTTCATCTGAAGTCCCTGAGCAGGTTTCAACAAATTAGTGCCTAATGTTATCGATTAAATGCTTCAGTAAGTGCTACACAACAATATAAAAGATACACATGTCATGAAGTCTCTAAAGGGTTTTTTATGGCTTTGTTAGATATGTTCGTTTTTGATGGACAGGAAATATTGGTGGTATTGACATTAACCAATTCGCGACAGGATCGGGAGTCGAAGCTGCAACAAGGACGGCAGCCTTTAGACTATCTCAAGACCCCCCCCCGTTTGGAGATTTTCCCTTCATGACATCACAAAGGGCAGTAGCCCCTCCCCCAGGTGGGTGACACTCCCACAGCTAGGTGTTTGTTCTGCCCTCTGAGTCTGCCTTCTCACCGTAAACAATAGGACATGGAGCGAGAAAGCACCGAGTACACCCAAGCCCTTCCAGAGAGGGGGCGTGGTCAGACACAGCTCATTTACATATTTAAAGGTACAGACACAGAAACAGTCTGTTCTGAGCAGGGCTGAAATAGAGGGGTTTATAGGCATGATCAAATACAGGATCAGAGTGGACTTCACAGACATGTTTTTTTGAGGAGCTATGAGAATTATTTAAACAGGTTGAAGAGGAGGAGAATATGTGACCTTTAACTTAAAAGTGTTTGCTAAGGTAAAACACATAACAGGCTAAACACATGTCTTGAAACAAAGCATTAAGAATAAATGCTGTGAAAATATTTAAAAACAGAGTCAGGGGTGTGTTCACAGGCACACAAAAGAAATGGCCATGATTATGCAAACAGCGTAGCCAGCTGCATTGATTCTGTTGTTTGCATAATAGATCCGACCGGCAGATAACAGCGACTAATTGGAGCTGTTTCAGGTGTAATTCAGACGTCAGTGACAAGAATATGAGAGCAGACTGACAGCCTGCCAAAAATCTCATTTATTTATTTAATCATCATCACTTCATTTATCAGGCTGTTCTAATTCACTGTTTGCACTTATACCAACACTCACTAATGCGCTATAATTTGTACACAGCCAAAGTAATTGTTGGCCAATTTGGCCCCATCTGCGAGAATATTAGATGCTCAGAGCAACAGCTCCGGCTGTCCAGCTTGTGAGAAGTCAAGTGAAGTAGATAAAGCCTGCTGGGGTGGACTATAGATAAGATACAATAAGATAAAAATTCGGAAAATGTCCATTTTACTTAAAGGAGCAGTATGTAACTCTGACCCCTAGTGTTTAAAATTGGTACTGCAGTCCAAATTCAAAACATTGTAGAGAGCTGTCCCCCCCCCCCCCCCCCCTCTCCTCTCTAGAGTCTATGCTCACTCAGGTCATC